ATTTAGATGTTCACAAGCCAAAGCCCCAGTTCTTCAGAAGAACCAGGGGGACACAGGCAGAAAGGTAAAGGGATAACTGTAGTTCAATGCAAATTAATCTCAAGGTTCTAAGAGAACCTTGAAGGGTTTTGAGTTGTGATGGAATAGCTGGAGATGCAGATCTGAGAGTCAGACAGCAAATAGTTGGAAGCCAGTCAGCCACAAAGATGAGTTTACAGGGGAAGAACAAGCAAAGTGAGAAGACAAGAGGCCCCAAGACAGAACTGAAAGGAGCACCAATATTGATAAGAGGAGCAAAGAAGCACCTGCCAGAGCTGCTGGGCAAGCATGAAGCCACAGGGTGGTCTTGGAGGAGCTGAGGAAGCCAAGAGGAGTTGGAGAAGCTGATGTTAACGGAACGTAGCAATCACCTATCAAAGGCACCGAACAGCATCCAGTGGATCTGTATTTATGGTTCAACAGCTGGTGAGAAATGCCATGCGTCTTCTGACCAAAGTGTCCCAATCGAGTGTCTACCCCTTGCTGTTTTAGACCACAGACCTGGCTTGCAGCCTTGATTGTTTTCCTGATCTCTGATTCTTCTTCCAGGCAGGCTCCGCCAGGAATCCAGAATAGACTCACACATGCATGCCACCAAGCCCTTGCTTGTGATGGAGATGAGTATATACTCAGCATCAGCTATGGGCCAGGTATACATTCGCCCCTTCAGGTCATCTCACAACAATACTGTGAAAAGCAGCAATCTTCTCCCACATTTTACAGATAAGAAAACCGAGGCTCACAGAAACAAAATCACTTGTGCCAAGTTTCACAGGAAGTGAATGGTAGAGTCAAGACAAGAATACCCATCTTTATTGCTCCAAAGCTAGTAGTGCTTCTGCCTTACTTGTCTGAGCCCCAAAGGCCCATCGTGCCTTTAACAGCCATTCTCAGGTGGTCAGACCTGAAGCTCCTCCCCCAAACCCTGTGGCTGCTGGCTAGGTTTTTCTTCGACTTCAATGGGCCCTTGGACCAGAGTGGTTAGCCAAGTGACTCCAGCTGTCCGGAATTACCTGCTATACTTTTCCTCTTACGCAGATCAGTTCAATGTTAATGCTGCTACACTGATACCAAGTTTCCTGTACTATGCTCCTGTGCACACTGCCACTTACCTGGCAATGACATTCAGTGTATTCTGGACTAAATCCTCAAGGATCATGACATTTAGGGTCTAAACTGACTGCACTACTTAATGTGAGATGAAATTATGAAGTAGCTACCAGAAAAGTGAATGCAATTATAGACTGCATTAATAGAAACTTGTATCTGGTGAAGGTTTTGGAGTACTGAACTTATGAGACATTCATAAATAATTCTAAAACCATGCAGACTGTGTACTTAAGGAGTCACAAAGTAAAGTGGGAGGGGAAAGTGGAAGAATAGGAGAAGATGGCTTTTGAAATGAGTCCTAAAATAATGGTAGAACTCATAAGGTGGAGATGGAGGTCAGACATTCCAGGCTGAGATAATGGTCAGAGCAAAGACAGGAAAAGTATATGGCATATTTGTGCCACAGGAAGTGGATACATGGAGGACACGGGGGAGGAAATCAAGACTTCATTAAAAAAAAAAAAAATGAAGCCAGATCATTAGACTTTGAATACCTCTACTGTTTACCAAATAAGCAATTGGTAAGTTGTCATTCTTGCTTATCAATCAGTCATTTGTGAGTTTGGGAGATTCTCTCAATCCTCAGAGCCTGCTCGTGACTGGATGAGCTATAAGGATCAACATTCCCATGTGTTGAGGCTGAGAGTCAGATCCAGGATTGTGGTGACCTCAGGGACATGCTGAGAGCCTGCCTTGGGTGTCCTCTCACCAGATGTCAGCTGGGACAGACAGAGCATCTAGCTAGCTAGCCCACCCCCTCCTTTTCTACCTGCTGGTCGGCTTCACTCAAGGAGTGCTTTCCCCAAGCCTTTCTTAGTAGTTAAGGCTTCTTTACTACAAATATCAGGAGCTGCTAGAAAAGAGGAATATATTAAGAGTTCAGCTGTATGTCACAAAGCAAAGGGCTGGCTACAATCCCGTTTTAGGATTACATCAGAATCAGGCTAGAATGGGAGCCAGGATTAGGACTTTCTCCCTCATCTCCTTGTTTTCTTCAAGTCTGCCTCATTCATCTCTCTCTGAAGACTGACCTCCTCTGCGTCTCCCATCCCCATGCAGAAAACATGGCCAGCAGCAGCTCCTGAATCTGCCTGGAAAGAGACTGATTGATTCTCTGTCTTTCCCCCGGCATCTGAGAAAGGACTTTTGACCAGCCAGTTTTGGTAGAGCGCTCGCCCCAGGTTTAATCAGCCATGGCCAGTAAGGAGGAAAGCTTGTATGGGCCCGGCTGTGCAGAGCCACCTGAGTAAGGTTGTGGGGGAAGAAAGGCGAGGCCGGTGAAGACAACATAAGAACCGCCTGTCACCCCAGAGCCATGCTGTCCAGTACGTGGACACTGGCCATGTGTGGTTAATTGTAAATTTCACAGACTTCAATAAAATTAAAAATTTAGGTTCAGAGTCACATTAGCCTCATTTCAAGTGCTCGATAGTCTCACGTGGCTAGTGGCTACTGTGTTTGGCAGCACACATGGAACATTTTCATCACCGCAGACATTTCTGTTGCATACCTCTAATCCAGAATTCAGCCATTTCTGGTTCTACCAGCAAAGTCTTAAGCATTCCAGCTACTGCAAGCAGCAAATTTCTTCAGGACTTGAACAATTCAAAAGCAGTTAATTCTCTCCTCTAATAACCTAGGAAGCAATTCTTTGGAGACCCCAGACCTAATTGTTTATTACAGTCCATTTGAACACCCAGCAATACCTCCTAAGCCTCATCATACGGGAATTCTTAGTCTGTCTTACCCCAAAATGGCAGTGACAGTTGACTTAATCATGCATCTCATCTTTGTTATAAAAAGTCACCAGAGAAATGGTATGCCACCCTGTCTTGCCCAGCTCCCACAATATTCTCTGCCTCTTTGGTTTTCTGCTCACTCTCGTCTATTGTGACCTATCAAACCTTTGTGTGGTAGATAGCAATGACCAACTGCTCCCCAGCACTACGCTCTCTTTCATAAGGTAGAGATGGCACTGGGAGGTGGCTCTACAGCCAGGAACTGTATCCCTAGCCCTTCCTGCATCCAGATGTGACCATCTGTATCCAAAGGCCATGTGACTCATTCTCACCATTGGAATAAGAGATTTATGTCCCTCCCAGATGGTTTAAAAAAAAAAACAATCTGCACCTTCCCTGTTCTCTTACTCTCAAGTGAATGGGAAGGATTCTGTAGCTTTTAGGGTTTGGTGGAGCCACAAGATACAGGGAGCCTGGCTGTCTGAACTACTGTGTGAAGAAAAATTAGTGCAAATGAAGATAATCTCTCATATGAGATATGAGAAAACTAGCCACTGAAATTTTGGAGTGTATTTGTTACAGCCACTAGTCTAGCATTGCTCTAATAGATACCTAATGGATTTCCTTATACCCTCAACCTTCTTGCCTTAAATTCAATCTCCTACTACTCCCTTACGGGTCCAATTCTGTAGCTTCTGGAAGAGGCAGCTCATCTACCCACAATCCAGAGACTGTGGGGCTGAGAGATGGTATTGGCATTTTTTTTAACTCCTCATTGTATCTTTCAGACCACTTCATCTTTGAAATTAATACCATCTAACTTTGCCTAGCCAGTGCTTAACACATAGGTTTGGCATTGACCTTGTTATATAGTCTGCCTGTGCTCAGGGAGAGACTTTGAGGATGAAAGTGAATATCAGTACTGGGTCAGTGTCTATGGCAACCATAAGAAATGTATGAAGTTGGGTGCACATCAAATTCTCTGATTACCAAGAAGAAAAACACTAATTCTCTCCCAGGCTGACCCCTCTTTTTAGTCTCACGACCTTTCTCTCCATTTTCTCCATACATTTTCTCTCCAATTGCCTCAGCTCAGCTATCCCATTGCCATAGAGGGTAGTCAAGGGAGATGCAGCTTAAGACATCAGTGTGGAAAAGCCCACCCCAGAAAGACCAAAGAGATGGCAGTGAGATCCTATAGCAAAATCTCTAATGTTTACACGTATCCAAGATGTAATGTTTCTGCTTAAGCCGCTCAATTATGTGATAATTTACTGATGATTCACTTTAGAGCTATGAAAAAAAATACTTTCATATTTTTGTATTTGTGCTTCTGAAAAGTTCTAAAATCCAATAGTCTTCTTGCATATCTCGAGTATTATTCTGTAATTGCTGATTTTAGGTCAGCACATTTTTGCAGGCTGTCTTAAAAAAAAACCTTACTTTTCTATAAAACCATCTAAGTTTCTTTGCCATTTATTAGATTTATAGCTGATTCTTTCAGAGCTGACTTTCACCTTGACCCACAGACAATAGCAGAATATGAATTTTTTGGAAGGCAGTAGCACTGTCTTTCTTGGACAAAGTTGAGCTGCTCCACCAAAAACAACTCTTATAAATGTACAAATCTAATGCATATGGTTAAAGTAACCCCCCTACAACCTTTTCTCCCCTTTTTTCTGATTTCTCTAGGTTTTAGTGCACTTGCTTCTAGCAGCTATTAAATCTTTTGCCACTCATTTCCTCCATCTGATCACAAAGGTGTGCATCACAAGATGGTGTTCTTGTGCTGTAGTGAACCCCATCTTTAGACAGACGCTCTGGGGCCCACAGTGAAGCACCGGATGGGATGGACGCCAATAAAGATAAGCATTCCTGAGGGGCAGAAACCGTATGGGAAATGGCAGTCATTGTATGTAGCAGATCCTTTGGAGGACAATTATTCCTTCAAGGTCCTGTACAAGCATTTCAAACAGTGGCTACTAGGCAGGCTCATCATAGCTGAGGCTCAATTACAACCCAGATTATTATATTTCTAAGTAACAGAGAGAAGCAGGAATTTGGTATCTCTCTTCATGTGAATTTTATTTTATTATTTTATTTTATTTTCAGAATGGAACAGCAACACATATAAGTCACTGCCAGTACAGCAGAAAGCATGGTTTCTTCTAAACTGAGGATCATATTTAGAGTACCCCAAATCAAGACACAGTGGCCCACAAGAGGTAAGAATACCAGAAAATGAAAGTGTCTTCATTAAATAGCCCCTAATTTCATTTCATGCATGAGTGATATTTTTTAAAGGGTTCAAAGGAAGCCAGATCCCTGTGTAGAAATATGTAGTCCTGTTGCTCACATAGTTGTCATGATCTTGTGCTCTATAGACCTCGATGCTGTACCCCTGTCGGGGATCTTTCAAGTGTGGCTCCTGGCACAGCTGCATCAGAATCACGTGTGTTGATGACAGAAAATAAAGATCCCTAGGCCCCAACAGTCTGGAGGTGTGGGACTGGGGATCTGAATTTTTAAGCAGTTGACCTGCTTCTTCTGCTCACTAATGTCTGAGAACAGCCACCTTCTGCTCTTTGTGGAGAGGCACCAATAGTTTTGTTTTTTTTTTAATGTTTTATTTCTGAGAGAGAGAGGCAGCGTGAGCAGGGGAGGGACAGAGAGAGAGAGGGAGACACAGAATCTGAAACAGGCTCCAGGCTCTGAGCTGGCTGTCAGCACAGAGCCCGACACGGGGCTCAAACCCACAAACCATGAGATCATGACCTGAGCCAAAGTCAGAGGCTTAACCGACTGAGCCACCCAGGCGCCCTGAGGCACCAGTAGTTTTAAGAGCACTATGCCACAGCTCTCCACTGGAGAGACTTCTCATCTCTTCCCAGCCAAGGTCCCCCTCAGCCTGCTGCTTTGAACTGCGGGCTCCCCGCCTGCTCTCTGCCTGTGGCTCTGCTGGCTGCTCACGCAGTGGGGACTAGCTGGGGACTCCTGGGGGCTCCAGACCCTCCACTCCAGGGCCAGGCTTTGGTCCTGCATTTGCATTTTACAAGCACACCCTCTTTTTCTCACAGAGGGCAACCATTTCAAATCTCACCTTAAAACAAAACAAAACAAAATCACCTCACTGAACTATACCAAAGCAGATTGTAAGCAGCTTTTTCACTCCCTGATTCAGACAACAAAAAGGGCAGTGGCGGGTGGGTGTTGTGCCAATGGGTTTTCTTGCCTTTTCCTGCTTAAAGAAAAATGCCGGTGAGCTAACATGCCAATTTTACTTTTTTTTTTTTAATTTTAAAAAATGAAAGCTCTGTCTTATTAACAAAATTAAACTACTTTTGTTCTTGGAGTTTTAGTCTTCTAGCATTTACAGAAATCTATTGAGGGCTTCTTACTCAGTTATAAGGTTTATCAATTGGTTGTCATTGTGGCTCAATTTACTTTGTAATAAATTTGTAATTGAGAAACCTGATTGGATTTTAGCTCCAAAAAATAGTTAAAGGGACTTGGATTTTGGATCTCCACCCGTATCTCATGTAGTTCACTAAAAATAGACCCCAACCCAGGAGTTACGATTTCTGGACCAGCCTCCACTGATTATCTAGGTCTTGATATTTATGGAACTAGTCATTTCCCAAATATTTCAGCTCCACTCTTCCAGTCTTTAGAAGAAAAAAGACAATAACAATAACAACGATAGGATCTCATCCCCTACAGAGAATTAGAGGGAAAATGAGAGAGGGAAGAAAGTAAATGGGAATGTTCGAATTGGGGGAAGTGTAATAAAAAACAAAATGTGAATCGGAATAGCAGTTGGTGAGAAGGGGAAAGGTGCGTAGAGGACAATTGTATCACTAGGGAACATGTAAATCTAACAGCACGCAGCCTTTTAAGAAATGTTTTAAGTCGGTTTCGATAGCAGATAAGACAAGAATATTGACACATTACAGAAAGGGACATGCCAAGACTCGGAACACATTTTAATGAAAATGGAAATGGATTACCTTCTATTATCACATCAGAGGCCACAAAACTACAGGAAGCAGATTGTTCACTAGAAGGATATTCTTCACAGCATCTTTAAAGATGACATACACATACTTCATTCTATATTAAATTTCAAACACAAAAATAAATTAGAATGAAATTCGTTTCTATACTCACAACCTGACACCCTTAGAAATCTGAATCTTATGCCAGCCTAGAGCAAAAAGCAAAATTGGAAAATTGGAGCGTAGGAAAAGACCATGAGGAAAGAAGACTCAATTGAGTCCACAGAAGGACAGAGAGACTTCTGGCGTATTTATGGCAACACAGTTTAATCCATAGTCTTTGTTAATCACCATCTCTAAGTGGAGACGCCAGTCTAGTTGACTTGGTGATGGAAATTCTTTTCTCTGACAGCAGCTCTTTTTTCCCCCCAGAAGTTTCATCTCTTTCTTTTCTAGTGATAGAGTGAAACGGAAGCCTGCGAGCAGAACACATCTATCCACACAACTCTGACATAGTAGCCCGCGTTTCCCAGTTTATACCACCTTCCTTTACGAGAGTTATTTTTCATTGCATTCCAGAGACAAAAGACCCTTGGTGGTAATCAGTAAAGATCCTAACATGGTGGCAGGCAGTCTAACACGAACTTGTAGTTCCATCTCCTATAACCCACAGGCCAGTTCAAACAGAACACTTGGCAGCATTGGGGAGAGACCCCGTGGGCATATCTTTCTCTTTTCCTTTGCATTTCATTGCCTGTTGTTGCTCGTGGAAGGAGTGTGGCAAGATGAAGATGCCACCGTCTGGTGCTGCCAGCAGGGAAAATGTTGGGTCTTGAGCCTGGATCCCCAGTTTATATCACTGTACACTCCTGTACTGTTATCACAGCTTTGCTGCCTGGGGGCAGGGGGGTGGGGGGTGAGGGGGTGAGGAAAGCAGTGTTTGCTAAGGAGGAAGTGGCTGTTGCAACCATTTGGATGTAACCTGGGGCTATTAGGAATATATCCTTCTGTCAAGCCTGTGGAAGGAAGGAACGTGAATCAAGGTGGCAGTTCTGATGGGATGTGCCTTGGGACAGGTGTCTGAATTGCCGAGTCGTCTCAGTGGTGTAACGTTGACTTGGACCGTGTTGGTATTAAGTGGGAGAGTGGGGCTTTGTCCTGGCAGGCTTTTCTGCTGTGGCTCGTTGCAGTGGTTTGAATAGCACGGGTTTTTATTTTGTTTTAAGGGAATTTAGCAGCTTGTGGAATTTCTCCAGTATTGAGCACTTTGATAAGAGCTCATCTACAAAGGGAGAGTTCCATTGTGAGTGGTTTTGTTTTGTAAGAAAGCAGAGCAGCATCCATATATTATTTTGCTCTCTTTTAGGGATACTCCCTCTCTAGAGATTCATTTTTAGGTGTCACGCTTTCTCTCTCTCTCCCTGTCTCTTTTGGGTGTGAGGGAAGCTTTGCAATATGTTTCTGTGAGACTTCTCAAAAGTGATAAATGAGATTTTCAATCTTCTCATTCAAATGGTAGCTGCCTGGAAAGCCAAGAAGTGGAGTGAGGGGGTGGAGCTGAAGGTGACAGATTGATGAAGATGAGGAGAAATGCATTTGGAAAGGGAGGGAGGAGCAAACCCAGCAAGAGTTGTAAAAACTAGAAAAGCAGTTCTAAATTGGATTTAGAAATGGCAGAATGACAAAGTGAAGTTTTCTATAGGGATCAAGTTGCTAGGCTGCCACATTTGAGACAGCTTGGAAATTTTGAAAAGTGAGAATTCAGAAAAGCCAGAGAAGGGTGATGATTTCATAAGAGGCAGGAATTGATCAGAGTATCAGAGGAGGCAAGGCTGGGCCGGCTGCTCTGGAGATGGTTACTGGATTCCCTCTTGCGATTTGATTAAAATAGCTTGTTTGTTTATAGAGAATTAATTACACATCAATTATGTGAGGAAGACTTAGTCATAGAGAGCTGACCGCAGGAGCCCTGGCATGAATCTGTGATTTCCAAAGCCCCCTCATTCTTGTTTCCTCAGGATGCCTTCCTTCTAGGTCTGTGGCTTGTATTGTCTCAATCTCCACGAGTCCTGAAGTTCGCCTAGAAATGAATGATCCACATGATTCACCCCCTTCAAATCTCACTGCCTTACAAATACATCCTGTTCTGCACCCTAACCCAGGTGGGGTTAAAGGAAAATCCATTGCAAATCTCCACTGACATAAAGCAGAACATGGGTGCCCAGGTTCATTGGCTCTCCAGGTTTCCATGGGGCCTCTCCCTTTGTCTCCAGCAGATAACTGGCCATGAACCTACTCCCCCACTCTGGGCCCTATTGTCCTCTGGATAGTCAGACTGCCTTTGAACCTTATAGTACTCAGAACAAGCAAGCTAGACACACTGAGCTCCAAGATTTCTAGTGAAAGTCAAATGGGGTACTGTATACAATATGCTTTGTAAAGCAGTACAAGAACAGCCCATATATAGGTGCGATTATAGTATTATTTTTCAAAGTCTCACCCCAAAGCTCCTTTTCTTGCTTTTGTGCATCTATATCTCACGTGTGTATATTTAATTGCATGAGCACATGAGTGCCTCTAGCCAAGCATATTTGCAGAGTTTCTGAAGCCTCATTTTTTAAAAAGTTCTTTCTATGCCACCATAACATTTTTATAGGGGTCCGGTTCCGATTAGTACCATTGTGCATTTACAAATGATGGTCACCTCTTCACTAGAAATGAAAGTTAAGAGCAGTGCATATTGAACAGAACAGGAAGTGGAGAAAGTGCTTTTATAATGAGCATCTTTTCCATCAGCCTCAGCATTCTCAAAACAAATTGAATTCAGTAATCCCCAGAAGGCCTAAAGATGAACTATCTTATTTTTAAAGACAAAGATGAACTCAGTGTCAGGGTTGTGCAAGAATATTATTGCTATTTCTTTTATTATCATATATAGTACCTTTCCGTTGAAAAGCCAAAAGGCATTTTACAAAATCTGACAGTGATCCTCACAATGTCCCTCTGGGCTGAGTAGGCTTCATTACGAACAATAAATAATAACTGCCCTTTATTTTGAAATGTCTCCTACAGAATTTATGAACAATGGAGTGGATACATGTGATTCATGGATTCTAAAGGCAGTTTATTTCATGGGAGTTAGAGAAGACAGTAGTTTTCTATGGGTCTCTGGTGGAGTTGTTTTGACTCAAAATCTGGGTGCATCGGAACAACACCAGTGCACTTGAAAA